TAAAAAATGATTTAAAGAATTATTTAAAAATATATTATACATATATGAAGGAGAGTGACAATGATGAGTAGTGGGGCGAGTCGGAGAGAAAGAAGGTATATATAGTCTTGCTTGTAAGCAGTTGTACGTAAATGGTTGTACATTTTACAATTTTATATGTTAACAATTATATAATGCTTTGAAGTATATAATTGATTTTTTAGGATGTATTAATGTGTATATTTTGTTTGCCTGTGTTTATGGAATGCACATTTTTCATGGTAAGTGCAAATTTTGATATATTTACAATCAAGTTATTTATATATGTGGGGCATTCCACATGAACTCAACCAGCCTGAAAATAGGAAAGTTTTCCAATCACTTTAAAATTTTTATAATCAATAGTCCTACCAACAACAAAGTTTCTGTTAAAATTTTGTTGAGCTAGTGCAACGGGTTGCCAAGTTACAGGGGCTTGAATTTTGTCCACTCCAACCATCAGATGTACTTTGTAAGATACATAACTTGTCTTACAATATTCCGATTTGAACAAAAAAGTAGTGTTTTGGAAAGCTTTTTTCACGTACTTTCATAATAAAATAAGTATTATTTAAAAAACTTGTAAATTTGGCGTTATTTTTCAAAATTAATCTTAAATGTCTATTTTTCTCAAAGATGGGTATCTTCGATTCGAATAGAAAAAATTTAGAAAAAAAGAAGGATTCTTTCCTAACAAAAAAGTCTCTAAGTTCCAAGATGGTGAATCCAGTAGTTTTTGAGATACAGACAGATTTATGAGCGGATGAACGGAACGCGCTTCATGCCGAGTCGCGCCATATTGCCTTGCGTCCGCGAGGCGCGCCGAGAGGCCCGAACGATCCTACGTAACTCTGGGTAATGCTGTTTTTTAGTTTTTTCACAATGTTTTACATAATCTGTCCCTAAAGAATCATTTTTAAGAACGACCGGCTTCTAATTAGAGTGTCATGCTAACGAAGTTTTAATCCGAATTTGCATCCTAAATTATAATATATAATAGAGACGTCTTGATCCAATTTATTATCATCGACATTATAACATTCAAGGTTTATTACTTCCTTTCAGTTATATTGTGCTACTTCAATGAGTTCAAAACGTGCACTTGAACGGTAGGATCGTTCGGGCCTCTCGGCGCGCCTCGCGGACGCAAGGCAATATGGCGCGACTCGGCATGAAGCGCGTTCCGTTCATCCGCTCATAAATCTGTCTGTATCTCAAAAACTACTGGATTCACCATCTTGGAACTTAGAGACTTTTTTGTTAGGAAAGAATCCTTCTTTTTTTCTAAATTTTTTCTATTCGAATCGAAGATACCCATCTTTGAGAAAAATAGACATTTAAGATTAATTTTGAAAAATAACGCCAAATTTACAAGTTTTTTAAATAATACTTATTTTATTATGAAAGTACGTGAAAAAAGCTTTCCAAAACACTACTTTTTTGTTCAAATCGGAATATTGTAAGACAAGTTATGTATCTTACAAAGTACATCTGATGGTTGGAGTGGACAAAATTCAAGCCCCTGTAACTTGGCAACCCGTTGCACTAGCTCAACAAAATTTTAACAGAAACTTTGTTGTTGGTAGGACTATTGATTATAAAAATTTTAAAGTGATTGGAAAACTTTCCTATTTTCAGGCTGGTTGAGTTCATGTGGAATGCCCCATGTATAAAATCAATGTACGTTACAATGTACGTATTAATTTTAATATAGAATGAGGAAGCTTTATTGGATTATTAGTGTTATAAAAAAAAGAAATTGTTGAGAGAACAAAATAAAAATGGTAGCCATCGCTCATTATTGATTGTAAAACTATTAACGAATAGAATATGCAAACGAGTATTGAACATATTAACCTGAATATATTTATTGCAAAATAAATGAATAGCGGAGCGTGACCAAGACCTTCGTGAGAACCAAGATTAATGTCGAAATAAGGTTTAAAGTCATCCAAGTTGTGTTCTTTGAAATATAAATAAAATTACAAAAAATTTAATTTCCTATATTTTCTGTCTATTTTTTTATATTTACAAAACTGCATACATTTTCTGAATTATATTACTAATAACGCTGACTACTTTGTGCGTCAGTACGCCTATCTAATTCCAACAAATTTCGGAGTAAGAATAATTCAAAGTATATTTTTATCGATGTGTACGTAGGCTTCCGCCTTTTGTGTAAGTACAAAAATATTACATTGTGTATATCGCGTAGATTTACAAGATACATACTAATTTTATAATGGCTTGTTCTCATAAATATATACATACATATATACGTTCATTCGATAGAGTTGAATGCAAATGTTACAATGATACTTTGAGTATCATTGATAAATTCAACTCTATCGGACGAACTTGTAATGATGGTCCTGTCTCACATGCCTTTTTACAACACACTCGCATTGAGAACAGGAAAATCAATTTTTGCTATTATCATTATATTAGCATGTCTATATCGCATCATCATACATCATCAGAAAACAGTATCAATTCAACGACACTAACATCTGTAAGAATCGCTCAGGAAGGACCTGTGAGTTCCGAAAGGTACGACATTTTAGTTTTTCATTGTAGTTTTTTATTTTATGTTCTTATTTAGATTATAAATTTAAGAACTATATTAAATCCATTTAGCTCGATATAGACTATTATTTATTATAATTTGCACTGCAAGAAACGAGCGAAATTTATTAACAAAATATTTAATTAGCAAAATACGGAAGTAGCATTTTTGTTTTACAATAATACTGCCTTTACTATTTTTATTATAATACTGATGCTAGAGGAAAAAAAATATTGTTGAAAATTGTCTGCATCTCTATTTATGTATATGTATTTTGTGTGTGTGTGTGTGTGTGTGTGTGCGTGCGTGCGTGTAACAAGATGTATATACAATGTATTTAATATCGATTAAGAGTCTCGGTTGAAACGTCCGTATATTCTAAAATAAAAACATGTTATATTTAGAAAGTATTATACACAGAAGATCCACTATAAAAATCGATTTACCTTTAAGATGGTCATTGAGTTCAAGCTCGCTAGAGCTGCACGTAAATCCTGAAGGTTTAACACCATTAAAAATCTTAATAACGCTAGGTTTCAAGTTATGAAAAATTAATGGTTGGCCTCGTTTAGTAAAATCCTCTATTAAAGTTTTGATACCCTAAAAAAGCATATATGTAACCAAAAGAAAGAGACGTGAATATTATGTCGGCACCGTGATATTGGCACCGCTCCAACTCATTGTCAAGATAGGGCACTAACAATATAGGAGTATTACATATATTACATAAAAAAAGTCGTGTTTTATTCATATAGAAAATTAATTTAACTTTTTTTCTGTAACATTTATTCACCTTTGCAGCAGTGAAATCAGCAGCCTGGATATGTGTACAATCTATTACAACAGGTACGGTGGTACCCTCTCGTAATCCCTGCTTACTGATGACGGCTCGTACGTACTCAACACTTGGAAATACCAGACTTCGGTCCGGAGTTATGACAAGATATTCAAAACCACTGATACTCTGTACAAATGAAAAAAAGACAATGTTTTTAAATTACAATTCTGTTGCAAAAGATATACTTTAAATTCATTTCAGCTATTTATTTTCGGTTATACGAGGGCAAGTCTTAGAAAATCAGAGAGCACTCGTAGTGTCATGTCACATTACTTTTGGACAAGTAGTATTTTTCAGCTAATTACTGTCAAATTTTTAGCGGAATTCATCGAGAGGTTTTATTTCTGTAGACGATTAAAGCGAACAACCTTTGTATTTTTTGCAAAATGGAAAACAACGAGTTTTGTGCAGTGACCAACATCTACATTTGAAAGGTTTAACAACGAAAGAAATCAAAGCCGAGTTAGATTAAGTTCATAGCATATCTGCACCAGCGTTCGCGACTGTATACAATTGGGTGAATGAATTTAAACGTGATAGTACATCCACATGTGATGCACATCCACATACAATTGGCTGTATACAATTGGGTGAATGAATTTAAACGTGATAGTACATCCACATGTGATGCACCTTGTTCGGGACGTCTAATTGAGGCTGCTACGCCAGAAATCATCGATAAAGTCTATGATATTGCTTTGATCGACGAGTAAAAGTGCGCGAGCTTGTTGAGGCCACAGGCATACCATATGGCACAGTGATTTCAAAAATGATTTTGCATGAACAATTGGGTATGAAAAAGCTATCGGCAAGATGGGTGCTGTGTTTGCTCATATGTGGACCATAAGCGCGACCGTGTGACGATTTTAAAATAATGTTTGGAGATGTTTCAACGTAATCCAGATTAATTTCTGCGTCGATTCATTACTGTGGATGAAACATGGATCCATTACTTCACACCCTAGACGAAGGAACAGTCAAAACAATGGACTTCATCGGGTGAATCAACTCCGAAGAAAGCGAAGATCGTAAAGTCGGCCGGAAAGGTGATAGCCATAGTTTTTTGGGATGCAGGCGGTATATCGATAATTCATATCGATTTCCGTTGAAGCAAACAATTAATGGTGATTACTATGCAACCTTATTGGACCATTTCAACATTTTAAAGATAGAACGTCCCCATTTGGTGAAGAAGAATGTGCTCTTCCATCAAGACAATGCACGGGTTCACACGTGCCCGGAACCGATGGCCAAATTCAACGAATTCCGCTACGAATTGCTTCCCCATTCAGCATATTCGCCAGATTTAGCTCCTGCGACTATTTCCTGTTTCCAAACCTGAAGAAATTCGGAGGAAAGAGATTCACCATCAGAGAGCAGCTCATCGCCGAAACAGAGGCTTATTTTGAAAGGTTGGACAAATCATATTATTCGGACGGCTTGAAAAAGTTCGATCAAGTGTATCGAGCTGAAAGGAGACTATGTTGAGAAATAAAAATGAATTGATAAAAAAAAGTGTTTTATTATGTTTTTCTAAAAACTTATTGACTTGCCCTCATACATTTTTAATTACTTATACAAAGCTATAAACGTACCGTAGCTTTATGGACTCGTAACGTCGGTCTGGCCGAGGCATAAAGTAGGAATAAAAGATTTATACCGATGCCAATTACAATGCCCAGTTCAAGTCGTATGAAAAGACAACATAGAAATGTGGTTATGGCTGGTATGAGATCAATTTCTGAAAACGACGATGCAGTTTGTAACATAATCTCTTATCAAGATAGATAAAATAATTAAGTATGTACAATAAAATAATTAAATATAAACAATAAAATAAAGTATTGACAACATACATCTAAATAATTCTTTAATTTAATTTTATTTCATTAACTAATTTTATATTATATTGACGACAATGTATATTTCTCACTTTAGACAATATCACAAATTCTATATTTGCATAGAAAACAGGACAATCAATTCTTAGAAACAAAATAGTCATACCAGCATAAATCTATATCGCATTATGTTTCTTTTGCTATAAGAAAATGTGTTAATTCAACGATAACAAAACATATCTGTAAGAATCGCTGAAGAAGGAACCATGAGTTCCGAAACGTACGATATTATATTATATGAAAATATAATTTAGTATTACTTGATAAGAATTAAACAATGTTTAGTCGAAGTTTCCTTAATTAATTCTCCTACTTGCACAATTTTTATTTTATTAGTTAGATTTCGCTCGTTTTTTTGCAATGTAAAGTATAAAGAAAAAATGGTCTAAATCGAGCAGTAATAAGATTTTAATATATGGTAGTTTTTGTAACTTATAGTATCATTTTGGAAAAAAACACAAATATTTATGTTTTTTTAATTATTGTACATTTTTTTTCCATATTGATACTATAAGTTCCAAAAACTACCATACCTATATTAAAGTCTTATTACTGCTCGATTTAGACTATTTTTTTCTTTATACTTTGCATTGCAAAAAACAAGCGAAATCTAACTAAAATAATAAAATAAAAATTGTGCAAGTAGGAGAGTTAATTAAGGTAACTTCGACTAAACATTGTTTAATTCTTATCAAGTAATATATTTATGCTAACATGAATGAAATTATTAATTTTTGTTGCTTAACGTATAGGAAAAAAATTTATCGAGAAACTAGAAATTTTACTGTGAGCAATTTTGTCGGTTGAATTAATCGTCAATTAAAATGAAGTTAATTTCTCATTAATAAGTTACTTAATTATTCATTAATAATAAAATGTGTGATTATGTGCTAAAATAACAAAAAATAATAATTAACAAGTATAATCTAGATTTTGGGAACTAATACATAAACCTAATTATAATATAATGATATTATATTATTTATATATACATAAATATACACGTAAATAACCGAACAAAAGTAATTAACGAAAAACATCGTGTGTATGTGTTGAAGGTGAATTCTCTCTGAAAAAGAGAATTCAATTTTCTAATATTTTCTTATAAAACTATTTTATGTATTTATTTAATTGAAATTGTGTATAAAAGTTTTAATCAACTCTTTTATTTTGCTGTTATTGTAGCGTTTGGTGTTAAACAAGAGAAAGCATACTTTTGCTTCGCCATATTGGTTTCACCACCTGAAACTCCACCATAAAGACAACCGCGGCAATTATGACGGCTGCCAAGGCAGCCTTGGGTATGTAATACAAATAGGGTGTGAGGAACTGCAACGATATGAGTACTAATAGTCCAGTGTATACTCCACCAAGCGTCGTCTTTACCCCAGACGAGTGGTTGACCGCACCTCGGCTGAGGCCGCCGCTCACGGGCATTGATGATACAAACGATGATACCACGTTGCACGCACCCAATGCCAACATTTCTTGAGTAGCATCTATAGATTTACCCTCAGCTATGAATTAAACCAATCAATTCAATTCAATTATTTTGAAGGTAAAGACACATTTCGGTAATTATGCAAAATAACGGATCCGATGACTTTGACCTTGACATATATTGTTAAGGTTATGACCCTGAGTAACCTACCACAGGTTTCACTTGGCGGTCAACCTTCGTTAAAAAGTTATTAACATAAAAGATTAAAAAAAAACGTACTATTGCTACTATACATATATGATATTAAGTACTATTCTGTATCTCTTCCTGCTTACAAACATTCAACTTTCCACGCGAAGCGACTCTCACTTTCTCATCCCCTGCAAAAGGGCGTGCGACTTTCACACGATTTCGACCTTCCACGCAAAATAAAAACTACTTCAAACCAAAAAATGGGTTGAGTTAGGTTATTTTTTACAGTAGTGGAGCCTTCCCTCCGCAAGGGGAGGCGGAATCTACTGCATTCACGCGAAGCGATTCTCCTCTACAAAGAAGCTCGCAACTTCCATGTTGCTTTATGTTGTAAAGTGTATAGCGGGAAGCACAGACATTTACATACCGCATAACATATAAGGCATAAGAAATTCAATCAATGAGAGTTCTTTATTTCATGGAAAGGAAGGAAACGAAGGACTTTAAATGGTACATTTTCTTATGCATTATGCATTATGCGAGAGTCTGTGCTTTCCGTCTAGAGGCCGCAGTACAGGCTCTCGCATAACGCATAGTGCATAAAAGAATCAATCAATCAAAATTCTTCTTTTCCGTAAAATGGGAGGAAAAAAAGGTTTCTGATTGGTTGATTCGCTTATGCACCATGAGTTATGCGTTATGCAAAAGTCTGTACTGAGCCCTTATGCGTGAATACAGTAGGTTCCGCCCCCCCTCCTATGGAGGATATCCACTACTGTTAAAAATAACATAACCCAACCCATTTGTTGATGTGAGGTGGCTCTTGTTTCGCGTAATAAGTCGAAACCCATGTGCAACAGTACAATTATGGAAGTATGTTTGCATGGAAAGTCACATGACTGTACTGTTGCATGTGGGTTTCGATTTTCCATGCAAAACGAAAGCTACCTCATACCAAAAAATGAGTTGGATTAGGTGATGTTTTTTTAGTAGCGAAGCCCCTCCCCCCGCGAAACCTACTGCCTCTACACACTTTTCAAACGTTTATTTAAGTGTATATAAAAGCAAGGAATTAATTTAAGCAGAACCTTTTGTTAAAATAACTTTTTTACAAAGGACGGCCGCGGGCTAAAACCTTTTGAAAGTCACTTGGGGTCATAACCTTCACAACATATATCAAGGTTAAAGCATCGGAGAGTGGTTCGTTATACTAAATTTACCATACGTATAATAAACGTACAAAATTGATTTAAATTATTTATTCTATTTATTATACAGGGTGATTTAGAACGATCCCGTGTCTTTGCAAAGACGTGTTCCTGACTGAATTCTGAGACTTTTTCTTTACGAAAATTTTATCTAACGCTTACGTTTGAATTATTAAGAGATAAAGCTAGCGAATTACGAGCCGTGCATAGAAGGTAAGCAGGGACGGCGCACTCATCGTCCGATGCGAGAGAACACGAGGGTTACTAGTTGCGATCAAAGACATAGAGTTATTCTTTAATTTAATTTAATTTGGTTTAAGGACACACACACACACACACACACTCTCTCTCTCTCTCTCTCTCTCTCTCTCTCTCTCTCTCTGTCGCTTACCTTGCAGAGATTAATTGTCTTTATACTGTTTTAACTTGATGAATAACTTTCACAATCGGAAGAACTAGAAAAACAATACTAAGACACTTCACGTTCCCTTGTGACAAACTAACATCAAATAATGAAACAGGAATTCGTTTTTCTTTCAAAATTAGTGTACCTAAAACACTTTCACTAGTTGTAACACTTCCACTGATTTACTAACGCATTTAATCGATACTTGTCGACACCACACGGAACGATTCTATCGATTTATCATGATTAATTAATACTGGTTAATTATTCATTTATAAATCACTTGTAAGAAATGCGTTACATACATAATCCGACATACATAATCTTGTTGCCAGATATTATTCTGGAATATTCTATGAATTAGATTTTTATTAATTTGTAGTATTTAAAAGTTGAGATCTGTATAAATTTTAGTTGACGGGGGCTCTTTAGGACTCCGCCCCTGTATAGCATCGCTTGCACCGCTGAAACCGCACGCGTTTATGGCTAGAGATCCTCGCTAGTTTTTATACATAAGTTTTATCTGAAGACAGTAGTTCTTTGTGTGAGGACAAAGGCTTGCTCATATGATCTGACATAAAGACTGAGCCCGATGACAACAATCAAACAGGTTATGCTTTTACGAAGAAAATTAAGAATAGACATAAACAGATGAAAACATATCCTGTTTAATTGTTGTCATCGAGCTCAGTCTTCACGTCGAATCACGTCGGGTTGTGTATGTAACGCTTTTTTAAAACATGGCGGGACGAAACGCCATCCTGTGATATTCTTCACTATCTTATTTTTCATAATTTTAAATTATGTTTACTTTAATATTAAATTTTAATATATGTCTTTCAACATATTATTAAGATCTAATATGATGCTGTAGGCATCGAAATTTGTTAGATTGATTGTCAATTTAACTAAAAGTGATATTACCGAGGTAGTGAATATGCTAAATCCACCAGGGTCGGGGGGGGGGGGGGGACTACATACTCGGTATATAAAATTCACATGTTTATAATAAACACTAACATCCTGTTTGCAAGACTCGATTAGGCATTTTCAATTTTCACTTGATTTTTAATATTTTTTTATTTGTTTAGGCGTCTCAGTTATGGACCGGAAAGCTAAACAAATTGATCTTTGTTTGGCCGTTCATATAGCAGCACATACAGCCGTAAGAAGCATAGACCATTTGGGCGAGCTATTGTCAGTGCTAGGAAAAGGCTCTGCACTGGAAAATATTCGGATCCATAGAACCAAGTGTTCTAAGTTAATAAAAAATGTAATTTCACCGGCTATGCTCACCGAATTGATAAATGATATTGATAATCAGAAATTTTCCCTTATAATCGACGAATCAACTGATGTATCCGTCATTAAGTACTTGGCGTTTTGTGTTCGATACTTCAGTCTGAAACGCAAAAGCATAATCACTGATTTTTTGGGCTTTGTCGAAGTCGAAAGAGCAACTGGAATAATATTATGTAATTCCACAATTGAGTATCTGACAGCCATAGGCCTTGACTACAAGAATGTTATTGGCATTGCGTCAGATGGTGCTGCTAACATGATAGATGTTGAGAATGGCTTCTTTAAATTCTTTAAAGATAAGGTATATAGTTACTGTCGACACAACGGCAACATATGAATCACATGTCGCCGTATAGTGTTTCTATTCTAATTATTCTTTGCTTGTTTCACAGGTACCAACTGTTCAGCTGATTAAATGTTCTTGCCATTCTCTACATCTTTGCTTATCAAAAGCCGCTGAGCAATTACCCGCTGATCTTGAATTTTTGGTTCGGGAATCTAGAAACTGGTTTGCCAATAGCCCTTTGCGACGCATTCAGTATGAGTCTCTGTATTCGGCTATCAATAAAGGAGATATGCCTCTAAAACTAGTACAGTTGGTGAAGACTCGATGGTTGGCCTGGTCGAAGGCTATTAATGTACTAATTGAACAGTGGCTAGAATTGAAAACTCACTTCAATATCCATATACGTAGTCTTAATCCCAGTGATAAATGCACGGTTGGAAGAAAATTGAGAGAACTCTACAACGATGAAACAAATTATCTATATTTGCTTTTTATTAAACCAATTACAAATGAGTTTAATAGGATCAATCTAAAATTCCAGCTAAATTCTACTGAAGTGAGTACAAATCGATGTTTAAAATTTTCAGCATAATTTAATTACCGAATTACTGAAGTTATTTCGTTCACGTTTTAGGTTACAAAGCTGTTTGTGGATCTTCGAATCTTATTAGTATCATTAGTGCGTCATATTTTGAAACCCTCTTTCATTAAAATTAACAATGAAGGGAAATTTCTCACAGCTGAGGCCTTTGAATTGCTACGCAATGCGCTGAATAATCCGGAGGCATATCTACCTCTCAATAGTATTGACTATGGAGCATCTTTCACAATCCATCTAGGTAGAGTTAACTTGCCTTGTGAGGTATTGAATGACATGAAACAAAGATGTGTCAATTATTTATCTGTGCTTTGCAAACAGCTTGTCGAACGTTTACCCACAAACATTAATCACTTCGAGACACTCCAATACCTTACTCCAGATGAATGTTTAAATCCTTGTCCTAACAGAGTAGATTTTTTCAAATTACCCCTATTTTTGACAAGTAAGTTTTGAAGAACCAGTTTTTAGACTTTACAATTTCCAATAGTTCCTATAGGTTGTAATAGTGATTGTTAATGTCTAATAATTCATTTTAGTGAAGGATGATATGTAGTACGATTATCCATATGATGTTACAGCGATACATGAATGTTTACATAAAAAATACTTAGTGTGATTCAATTATATTTACAGATCTGAACGATGACGTAGATGTACTGAAGACACAGTGGGATAAGCTCAATATCATCGATTTCAGAAGTCACTTTGACGACATGATCCCACAGAATTCCGAAAAGTTCTGGATTGGAATTCTTGACTATAAGGATTCATCGGGATGCGCGGTGTTTTCGGAAATCGCAAAGTTTGCACCACGGGTACTAAGTCTGCCTTTTTCTAATGCGTTTGTGGAAAGAACATTTAGCTTCATGAATGCTATCAAAACAAAGGCTAGAAATAGAATGTCAATAGAAATTTTGATGGCAATCATGAGAGTTCGAATTTGGTTTGCTCAGACAAACGAGTGTTGTAACAAATTCGTACCAAATGATAGAATGTATGAGCTATTTACATCACAGATGTATGTAGAACTGGAGCAGGTTGCTACAGTTGATGGTGAAAACGAGGACGTTTCGATTTTGACGAGGCCCTGGAAATTTTTCCAAGAGAAGATGAACTGATTATATAATAATTGTCGAACATGCTGTACGACGTAGGTCGATTGAGCAAAAAAAAAATAAAAGTGCAATAATCGTGCCAAATATTTTTGTACTAATAGCTGTGATGTGGAATAATAATAAATAATTGTCATGTAACTGTGTTATTAGAGGTAGTGTGGGAAATAAAGGAAGAAATATACGTTTAATTATTACTTTACATCGCTTGTTGTCTAATTCATTGCATACACTTCCTTTTTTCTTTTTGCTCAATCGGCGCATTTACCGCATTTGGCGATTTTGGGCGACTTCAGCGCGCTCGGTGTGCGATACGACGTACTACGTATCTGGCAACCCTGTCTTAGGAAGTCAGTCTTATTGCGACTCTCCTGGGGTACGTTCCAAAATTCGACTCTGTTGCTGGATTCACACTGCATCCAATTTTCGTCGTACGACGACTCTGCAACTAATCAGAAAAATCGTATCATCGATACGAAGCAAAATTTTGTTTTCTGATTGGTTGCAGAGTCGTCGTACAACGAAATCGGATGCAGTGTGAATCCAGCATATCAACTCTGAGTATCTTTCATCCTTGTTGTTCGCCGAATGTTGAACAAAGATAAAAGATACTCGGAATTAACAGAGTCGAATTTCGGAACGTAACCCTGTGGGATGTACGCGATTCTTTAACCTTGTAATTTTAATAAAGTTAGTTGATTAAGAACAAACCAATGTTCGTCAACGGCTATCCATCGTGATTTACAACCATCCCTACAAATTTGGGGGCTCGTCCGGGATCGAGCTGTATGAGGAAAACGACACCGAGTAGTGAACAAAGACGACGACGCTACGAAGAAAACGACGCCAAGCAGTGAGCAAAGACGACAACGCTGCGAGGGAACAACGACGCTGAGAAGACGACGAGGTGCGACGAAAACGACGCGTACAACGAGGTACGAGAACGACGCATACGACAAGGTACGACGAGAACGACGTGTACAACGAGGTACAAGAACGTCGCGTTCGACGAAGTACAACGAGAAAGACGCGTACAACGAGGTACAAAAATGACACATACGACGAAGCACGACGAGGACGCGCACGGTAAGGTGCAAGAGAGAAAGACGAAAGACGAGATAAGGAAGAAGGACAAAAGACGAGACGAAGAAGAAAGACGAAAGACGAGATAAAGAAGAAAGATGAAAGACGAGACGAAGAAGAAAGATGAAAGACGAGACGAAGAAGAAAGACGAAAGACGAGACGAAGAAGAAAAACGGAAGACGAGACAAAAAAGAAAGACGAAACACGAGACAAAGAAGAAAGACAAAAGTGCGAGGAAGAAAGAGGATAGAAGAGGCGAAAGACATTAAAGGAATATTCGCGAAGGCATAGAATGTATAATTGCAAGGCTACCGAACGTGGGCATCGGCCATATTGCTTATGTTGTACATTGCTCGTGCCGTTCGTTTTGCTTTGGTGTAAACTGAAGATGGTTTGACGTAAATAATGGAGACCCTCAGGCAGATTAGGCCAATCGCCGATAGAATTCGGACATTATCGCGCCCAGCCATACGGTGCATATACATGCACTCTATCAGCTCGTGTTTGAGAAGAGCGGAGGTCGCACCAGTCGCAAGCAGATGCGTGCTTTCCGCGGCTTTAGTTTCAAGAACACATCCGAGGAGTTCCGATTAAAACTTGAGTACGCAGTCGCGTTTTTGGTCGGAGATTTAATATCTATGTGTAATATTCTCGGTCTAGATTACGCTGGCACTAAAGAGGAGTTGAGATTAAGAATAATAAGAGCACTCTCGAACATCAGATCGTTAGCGTCACCTGAAAACGACGATACAGGTGCCGATGAGGAATCAGCGGAAGAATTAGAGGAGCAACAACGACAGAGAGAAGATAATAATGGCCAGGTTGACAACGTGAATGTTTCTTCACTTGCAATTAGTGATACCGGCTCTAGACACAATGAACAGGTGCATCCAAGACAGAGAGAATGTGGTAACACAAAGATTACGTTTAGTTTCAAAGACGTTGAAAATACTATTCGTCCATTTGATGGAAAAGAGCACTATCCAATAGAGAGATGGATAGCAGACATTTGAAGACATGGCAGCCTTGTTCGAGTGGAACGACACGCAAAAGTTGGTTTTTGGCCACAAATCGCTTAAAGGATTGGCGTTTGTACAAGGATTAAGCATCACTCAATCCTGGAAAAAACTCAAAGCTGCGTTACTGGAAGAATTTAGTCTTAAAGTAACTAGCGCAGACATACATCGCGGGCTTGCCAGAAGGAAATTGAAGAAAGATGAAAGCATACAGGAGTATTATTTAGCCATGAGGGAGCTGGCTTTGCAAGGTGAAATTGAAGTTATCCAATATATCATCGATGGTATCCCTGACAGCAGTTGCAAGATGGTGTTGTACGGGGCAAGAAGCTATAATGAGTTTAGAGCACGACTTCTCACATTCGAGAGGATACAAAAGAGAAATCCTATTATGAGTAAGAGCCATCCGAAGAAAGAAGCAGTAGGTAAGAGTACGAAGGATGATGTCAGATCATCGAAGGAGGAACGGAAGCAGACATCGAAGGTGACAAATCGTTGCTATAATTGCGGTGAGAGCAGACATAGGTCACACGATTGCAAGTTTAAAGAAAAAGGTAAAAAGTGTTTTAGTTGCAGTAATTTCGATCATGAGTCAAAGAATTGTCCTCAGAAAAAAGATGTTTCGACGACAGCTAATATTCTCATGAAACTTGTGCATGTAAGTCGAATGTTCAAGGAAGTCACAATAGAGGATAAAAAATGTCATGCTTTATTAGATACGGGTACCACCTTTCTATAATGCGTGAAGATGTTCTTACATCAATTAACATCTCTGAATTACAGAAATCTGAAGTGCTCCTAATGGGTATTGCTGAGGGTCAAGTCAAGACTCTTGGACACTTCCAAACTATAATTACGATAGACAATTTCGACTTTCCTTTGACATTCCACGTGGTTCCTACTAATTCTTTGAATATTTCTGTAATATTAGGCACTGACTTTGTTAGTCAAGCTGAAATAAGGATCGATGAGAATGGCGTCACGGTTTATAAATCTAGTGTTTCAATGTTCTTATCTCAAATTGTATTGCAACCGGAGAAGAACGAGGAGGGTCATGTAGATGTAATGATAGATCAGGAATCTAAGAGTACAGTAGAAAACATGTTATTAACATATGAGCCTAATAACCCGTACGAAAAAAACCTTCAATTTTGGGCGTTAAACACTCAAAAAGAACACTCAAACTTTGGTGTTAAACACTTTAAAAAACACTCAAATTTGGGTGTGATTTCGGACCGTCAATTGAAGGTTACACCCAATTGAAGGTTATTCGTGTAGAAATTTAGAGAGGGTTCCGTTAGCGCACGGTGCGATAGCGCACGTCCCGATAGCACACGTGAAATTGAAATTAATTCCCGATAGCCCACGTCCCTTAAGCACACGTCCCGATAGCGCACGAACCAAAACGCGCTCCAACCCGATAGCGCACGACATAAAACGCCAATTTACCCGATAGCACACGTCCCGATAGCACACGTCCCGATAGCGCACGTCCTGATAGCGCACGTCCCGATAGCACACGAAGCAAAACGCGCTTCATCCCGAAAGCGCAGGACATAAAACGCCAATTTACCCGATAGCACACAACCCGATAGCACACGTCCCGATAGCGCACGTCCCGATAGCACACGAGCACGTGTTTTCCCGATAGCGCACGTCCCGATAGCACACGAAGCAAAACGCGCTTCATCCCGATAGCGCACGACATAAAACGGCAAATTACCCGATAGCACACGACCCGATAGCACACGTCCCGATAGCGCACGTCCCGATAGCACACGTCCCGATAGCACACGTCGATGTCCGTTATTGAGAAGCGCACGTTTTCCCGATAGCACACGTCCCGATAGCACACGTCCCGGTAGCGCACGTCCCGATAGCGCACTGCCCGATAGCGCACGTCCCGATAGCGCACGTCCCGATAGCGCACTGCCCAATAGCACACGTCCCGATAGCACACGTCCCGATAG